CACACATACACACATACACACATAGATACATACATAAATAGTTCGTGGACAAGGTAGGTTGTGGACAAGGTAGGTTGGGCCACAAGAAGGTTTCAGGCTCGCTTCAAGCCAACTAGCACAATATTTTCGGAAAGCTTTCTAGCACTGCAATGGAACTCAACTAAACCCTAACCCTAAACCCTAAACCCAGTCAAGCGCCCTCCGATCTCCGTGACCTTCCAAGTGACCCTGAGCCCAAAACGGCCTGAGCCCTTGACTTGCTCGTCGGAAGCACACATGCCTACAAACCTTCCCCTCTGAAAGATGCAAAGACGCCCTGTAATTCCCAGATCCATCCCTCTTGCTGAAAATACTTCCAAAGAGAGTTTGCTCTCTTATACAAGGTTGCCGCAGCTTTGCTGGCAAACTACTTGTCAAAGGACACGAGAGCATAGTGAAGAGATCTCTTTGGCACCAGGCACCGACCACAGCTCAGCTGCAGTGTATCCTGGATGCTGCGCGAAGAAGCTTCGCCGAGAATGCAGCGTCTCGGATAGAGATTCTGTCCCTGCCAGGTGGAATCTGTGTTAGGTTGCAGGACTGAGCAAAAGTTCAGCCTTGTCCCAAAACTGTTTGTTTTGACCACAAGATGTGATCTTCCCTGGCGCTGTCAGCTCGGATTTGCCTGAGGCAAATTTTTCTGAGGCTGATCAGAGAGCTTTCTGTTCACCTTGTGACGTCGGACCCCTCTGCAGCTGGCTCAGGCCAGTCCCCGTCATCTTCCCCCCGAAAACACTGAAGCCCAACTGCCCTGAAGCATACACATACATGCATACATACATACATGCAGGCATACATCCATACATACATCGAGACACATACAGACATACATGCATACATACATAGGTATGTACGTACATACATACATACATACATACATACATACATGCACACGCATTTACATATACAAACTTACAAACACACACGCATAAACTTATACACGTGTAGATATACATATGGCATTACATGTATACATATATACTTATACATATACATATACATATACGTATATATCTACCTACCTACCAACCCACCTACCTACCTACCTACTTACCTACCTGCCTGCCTGCCTGCCTGCCTACCTACCTGCAGACATGCATACACCCATACATATATCTCTCTTTCTCGGCTTTTTGGCTTAGCTTGCTGGTTTGCTTATACCTAGATATTCGACCTGTCTGTATCCATGCTTACTGCTGGTGCTGACACTACGCTTTCATGACGCAGGCTTCTTTCTTGAATGTCTCCGCCTTCATTCCCGGGAGCATAAACCCAAAAACCTCCACCCGGTGAAGCTCCCGAAACCCACAACCCAAACCTAAACCCTAAGCACGACCAACACACATTACTTCCCGTAAATGTCGTACAGCCCATGAAACGTCCACCGCGACACTTCTGCAGCATCGCAGCTAAGCGGTGCCGCGGGGAGGCAGAGAGGACGGATGAAAGCGGCGTCTGCTGGTCCGGGGCGCCTTGTGGGACTTGGGGCCTCGTGGTGTATATGTATACTTACATACATACATACATACATACATACATACATACATACATATACATAAACACATATGTATATATATATATATACATATGTATATAGGTGTGTATGTACATATATATATATAATACTGTAAGTAATACTGTATATACGGCTTGATCTAAGTTACCATAGACCATAATGGGGATATTTAGCAAATAGCAGGGATTCCTTATCATAGTAACTTACTTTTACGTCCCTCAACAGCAACCCAGCCTTGCGGGCTTCAGGGGCCGATAGTTTTGGGGCTTTGGATGTACTTGCGGGTTGGGGCTGAGAGTTTAAGGTGTAGAGTTTGGAGTTTTGGGGTGTTTCGGATGTAAGGGTTAGCCCTCAGGAAGCGCTAAACCCCGAAACCCCGAACACATATCAACCAAACTCCTGGGCCGGCACGATATAGCTTACCAAGCCTTTCTAAGCCTCTAAGCCTTGGTGATCTGGCTGTGGACGGTCTACCTGAACTCAGCAAACAGCTAAAGGGTACGGTACGTAACACGTGACTCTGAAGCAACATGTCCTCCATGCAATGCAAAGGGCAGGCAAGTTCCTTCTCGAATGCCTGGCTTGGGCGAGCGTCACTGGCCCTCAAAGGATAGAACAAGCATCCTAGAATATGCACCGTTGGATTGCAAACAGATGCGGGCACTAACATGCCCTTTGTCTTACATACCCCACGACCCTGAACCTCAAAACGTAAACCCTAAACCCTCAACCCAAACCGTAAACCCTAAACTCTAAACCCTACACCGTCATCCCTAAACCCCAAGCCGTAAACCCTAAACCCGGAACTATCCTGTCATCTGGTGTCCTGTGGCGTGCGACTTGGGGTGAGCCCAGAGAAGCTGCGCATCGCCTGCAACTGCCAAAGCGACAAACTGCAACCAACAAAATGCTCTCTCTCTCTCTCTATATATATATATATACACATAAGTTTACATATATATACATACATACATACATACATACATACATACATACATACGTACATACATACATACATACATACATACATACATACATACATAATATGTATGTATACAGTTTTATTTTGGTATTTGTATCTATGTATCTATTTATTTGTACGTATAATTATATCCTTATACATGCCATAACCCCATGGCCCTGTTCGAAAATTAAGCTGCCTGCATCACGACGATCCCGACGCCCACCGGCTCAAACCCGTGGTGGCGATCAACCCGGTGGAGCTAAGCAACTTCGACACAGCAGGATCCAACTCCACAAACCTTCGGAAAAGACTGACGTCGCTAACAATGTGTGCGTGTGTGTGTGTGTGTGTGTGTCGCCCCGCAGCCTGAACTAGCAATACCTGTCGCAGGCATGAGATCACGGAAAGCCCGACTACGTGACCTCCGTCTGGGCATGATCTTGCAACTTCATGTATCTTCCAATTCGGGGCAGTTTCGTGAGGTTCAGGCAAACTTGGACATGAGTCCGGAGGGTTTAGGGTCTATAGGCTTAAGCGTTTAGGGTGCCACACCAAACCATGCACCGTACCCACAACAGTCAGCGGAGCATTCCGCGCTCGCCTCGTGGGGTTCTGATAACGTAAGAACTCCATACTCTCTAATTATACCACTCTCAACAAGACACTCCCACAATCCATTTGTGATACCCTGAACGCTACACCCTGAACCCTAAAGCCTAAA